GTAATAGCCAGCCTGAAGACACGTCAGCTTTAGTGTCAGGTACTTTCTGAATGATAAAAAAAAAAAACGAGTTAATTCATACGTTTAACTAAGAATTTTGATGAGGTAAGAAAGGAGTGTGGTACCTTCTATTTCACTATTTCACGAGGCCCTGAGTCATTTTATAGTGAGAAAGGCGGCTGAGAATGGGAAGTAAATCATGAAAATCCCTTTAACGATCCATATTTTTTGTTAGTAGAAGCAGTGGTTTTGAAAAGTATGCACATTTCTAAAACCTCAAATTTATCTATTTTGAAATTTATCGCGATCTAGTGTTCACAGAATACTAATTTCGCATCTCACTGATATACCAATTTCATATCATGCATAAAAATGAGGGAAGTTAAAAAGCAGTTTAGGAAAAAAAGGGAAGGTTTGCAGCCAATTTTTAGGGTTTTTCAAAAGAATATTTTAAGGTTTTTTGACATATTCGTTTGATAATAACAATAATAACAAGCAGTCTAATTTGATGTAAACATTAGAATATCGTACCGTGGTTATGTTGCTGCAACACTCAGGCCATGGGCCATAATTTCAAACTTTGGGCCATGCTTTTGAACTCTTAGTTTAGCCTTTATGGTACTCCGGTGATTCCTAGAAGTAAAACCGATTAACATGATCAGGTTGCAGCGGGGAAACTGCCACAAGTAGTAACTATAAAGTACTGCCTAAACAAAGGCAACCGAAAAAGAAGACGATACCTATTGCCGATGGGAGGCAGCCAAGAAAGGGCAGTCTGTAGTGTCTTGAAAGGCAGATACACAGTAGAGATGCTCCCACACTGAATCTGAAGCACAAAGGCCAGTGGTGTAGTGGATAACATGTCGTGTCCGAATGTGAATGAGGGTGGTTCGATTCTCTCCCCATCCATGGCTTCTTTTGGAAAAGGAGTTCTGTTCATTATATGATACTGGGACATAAGATGCTTTTGTCATAATCCATGTGCAAACAATTAGAAGTAACAACTTTTACCAAAATGAAGCCTATAAATGCATAACTATTATTTTTTTTTTCAGAAACCAGGAAACTGTTAGATAATCATAAAAAACAAGATGTGGAATCTCCAGTGGATGTGTCGATTGAGAAAGACCCACCGAAG